ATGTTAATGCTTAGGTGCTTTCTTTACCATACAAATAAATGTATACATTTTATACTTATTACAAGGTACAATAAAATCTTAAGGCTACTTCATTTACACTTCTTTTTGAGCCATCGATCCATATCATGGATCATAGTCCATAGCACCCGACCATGAACAATATGTTTACCACTCATGATGGCTCGGCCTTAACCCTAATTACTTGCATTTATAAGTATCAATGATATTATGTTCGTACCCATTTGGTAACATTATGTTTGCACCCCATTCACACCCTTTTGGAGACGTTACATTCGCACTCTTTCGGTGACGTTACGTTCGCACACTTTCGGTGACGTTACGTTCGCACCCTTTCGGTGACGTTACATTCACCTTTTCGGTGACATTACATTCAAACCTTTCCGGTGATGGTACATTCACACCTTTTAGATCTCGAACCATTCGCACCGTTTCGATCCCAAACCATTCGCACCCTTTCGGACCCGAACCATTCGCACCCTTTCGGTCCCGAACATTCGCACCCTTTTGGTCCCGAACCGTTCGCACCCTTTCGGTCCCGAACCGTTCGCACCCTTTCGGTCCCGACACGTTCGCACCCTTTCGGTCCCGAACCGTTCGCACCCTTTCGGTCCCAACACGTTCGCACCCTTTCGGTCCCGACGCGTTCGTACCCTTTCGGTCCCGACGCGTTCGCACCCTTTCGGTCCCGACACGTTCGCACCTCTTGGGTCGCGACACGTTCGTACCTCTTGGGTCACGACAAATTCGTACCTCTTGGATCACGACATGTTCGTACCTTTTGGATCACGATACGTTCGTACCTCTTGGATCACGATGCACTTGCATCCCTTGGATCAAGATGCACTCGCATCCCTTGGTTCACAATAGGATCACACCTTTTGGATGACACCCCTTGAAGGCATCTTTTGGTGGTATCCCTTGGTGGCACCCTTTGGTGGCATCCCTTGATGGCATCCTTTGGTGGCACCCTTTGGTGGTACCGTGTTCGATCATCATTAGCAATACTATTTAAAATGAAACTAACATGCCTTTGAGAATATAGAAATGATGTATTATTCTCCATTGTTTCATCTTCTTTCTCCATCTTTAAAAGTTTATTCACTCAAACATTTACAATTTTTCAGACTTTGATGAATCTCTCGCACAAATATACTAGTCATAGTTCACAAGAAAATACTCTTTAAGATTGTTGGTTATTTGGGTTGTAACCCAGAAATTTGTGAATTATATACTTGGATAATGATTGAATCGCGCACGAGGTCACTTTCNATCTTCTTTCTCCATCTTTAAAAGTTTATTCACTCAAACATTTACAATTTTTCAGACTTTGATGAATCTCTCGCACAAATATACTAGTCATAGTTCACAAGAAAATACTCTTTAAGATTGTTGGTTATTTGGGTTGTAACCCAGAAATTTGTGAATTATATACTTGGATAATGATTGAATCGCGCACGAGGTCACTTTCCTTAAAGAGTATTTCGACCCTATTCCAAGCCTTTGGGTTACACGAAATCCCTTTGTAGGATAAGACAATCAAAGTCACATTCTTGTGCTAGGCTAATATACAAGAATAACAAATAGAGTTTTAATGCTTATATGTGTTTCTTCAAAGATCTTTGATGATCTTTAAACAATAAATCTATTTCTCTCTTACTTTCTTACTAACTAATAGTTTCTGATTTTTCTATGTCATTTGTCAATAATGCCTACATCTCTTTATATAGAGAATGAAAGGTTGCAACCAATGGTTACAATGGTTAATCCAAAAGATTCAATGGTTAGTACTAATAGTTGCAATGGTTAATGAAGAGTTGCAATTGTTAATACCAACAATTGCAATGGTTAGTAAAGAGTTACAATGGTTAATCATCAAGGATTGCAATCACTAATATGGTTAATCATCAAATGTTGCAAATATTAATATGGTTATCACCAAAGGTTGAAATCATTAATATGGTTATTACCAAAGGTTGTAATCATCAATAGTTGCAAGCTTTTATTCATGTAGTTGCAATTATTCACATAAACAATTGCAATGGTTCATTGCACCCTTTCACTTAAACCCTTTCACTTAAATATATAACAATTTCAAATCACAGGGGAAAGGGGTTAGCTTGGTTGATTTCTAAGGCTTCAAAGGCTTATAGAGTGGCTGATTTTAAGAAGACGTTTGCTCATATTTTCAATATCAGTCCACTAATAGGAACTTATCTAACGCAAGCTGATGTTCGAAAGTGGGCTAGATGTTAATTTGTTGGATATCGGTATGACATTAGGACAACTAATCCTGCTGAATCTATTAATTCTGCCTTGCGCACGCCAAGAGAGTTTCCGGTAATTCCTTTGTTGGACAGCATTAGAGAAATACTAACATAGTGGTTTTTAAAGCGTAAGAGGAAGATTTCAAAGCATACGCATCCTTTGACCATAGATGTGGAGGAAAAGATTGATAGGAGAATCGAGAAAGGTAAAGCTTTTGTAGTTTACCCTGTAAACGACTATCAGTTTCTTGTTAAGGGTGATACAATTGACTGCTTCGTTGATTTGGATAAACGGATGTGCTCATGTGGGAAGTAGAACCTCTTGAAAATTCCTTGTAGACACGCGATAAGCCGGTTTCTCTGTTGGCAAACAACCACACACGTTGACTGATTTGATGTACACCACGGGAGCTTGGAGAGAAGCTTATCAAGAAAGCATAAATCCCATTGCTGTTCCTGAAGATGCTTGGTCTGTCCCTGAAGATTCGGAAAATGCTGAAGTGTTACCGCCTGAGACAAGAAGGTCTCTTGGAAGAAACAGAGAAAAAAGATACGAAACCATTGAAGACAAAATTCGATCATCACAAGGATCACAAGGACCTAAGCTTCGCAGGTGCGGCAGGTGTGGTTTTGGTGGCCACAACAGATCAACTTGCAAGATGCCAATATAGTCGCTTAGTTTGCTGTTTTTTTCACCACTTTGTTTCAGATTGCTTCATGTTTAAGTTTCGAACAAGTTTGCTTCATGTTTCAGTTTCGAACAAGTTTGCTTCAAGTTTGCTTCATGTTTCAGTTTCGAACAAGTTTGCTTCATGTTTCTAATAATACGCATTCAGTTTCAAACGAGATTGTTTCATGTTTTAAATTTTGTCATATTCTCTTGTTGATCATATGATATGTCGCCTTGAATTTGGCTGTAAAAAAACTCTGAAACATAAACATGTTTTACAATATGTACAGAGAAAGGGGAGAGGCAGAGAAACGAGAATGGAGAAACTGATTTGAGATGGATCTGTTTTGGGTTTTTGAAGGTTATGTAGGGTTCGGTTCTATTATCTGGGATCGGGATCGATGGATCTAAAATAGAGATAGATCGATCTATGATAGATCGATCGGTGAAGATCGACTGAACTGGACAAGGTCGATCAGTTTCTGCTCCGTGCTTTTTATGTTTTTGTTTAATCATCGAGATCGACCGTTGGGATCGACCGACTCTTTCTGGGATCGATCGATCCCGTGTTTTTTTTTATGTTTTTGTTTAATTAAGACATAAAGTCTCACGCGTGTTGTTTTCTTTTTGCAGGTTAAACTAATACCCGACGGGTAGCGGGTCTTATCCGGATCCGAACCTGTACACACGGGTCTACAAAAAAAATATCCAACAGGTTAATTTCAATATACCCGGACCTGTACTCAAACCTGTGATTTCAGGTCGGTTCCGGGCCGGGTCCTCGGGTTCAGGTTAAAATGCCCATGCCTAGTTTAAAAGATAATATATAGTTATAAGTATAACTATATAACACATATTAACATTTAAGAAAAAACATATATTGACTTTGTTTTCAAAATTAATAATATAATTTACAAATTTAAATACTTTTTTAAAAAAGGTTTAAGGTATAAGTCCCCATTTGCGGTATAGTGTCTAAGTAAGGTTTAAAAGATAATATATAGTTCTAAATATAACTATATAACACATATTAAAATTTTATTAAAAAAAACATATATTAACTTTGTTTTTAAAAAAAATATATTAAACATCCTGGAAGTGAAGGTAAAAGTTTCTAAAAATCAGGAAACAAACCATATGTTATACAATAGCTTAAACATCCTCTGAAATATAACATTAACATCCTAAAAATATAGCTTAAACCTCAAATACAATTGATCAGGAAATATCAATACATTTGTTATGCTTATAAGCGGGACGCTCATACTTCGACATCCTCTCCAGCAACTCTGGATCATTACTAGCATCCTATAGATCCCAAAGCATTCTAATCCGAGCAGTCTTGATGTTATCATCACTCATCAACGACAAATCTAACCCAATCGCATGGCATTCGATGTGTGTTTACAGCATACACACCACAATGACAAGCACGTTGGTTGAGATTATGCATAGGGGTATAGCTTACAATGTACGCCATGATTGTGAGATTCTTCTGGTTTGTCACCGACTGAACAGCCTTGACGATCCTAGGAATAAGTACCGTGAATGCTTCAACCTCTCTGTACCTTTGTAAACCCGAGAAATCAAACACAGCGATATGCCTAGTCACGAAACTGATGCATAACGCGATCCAGTGATTCTGATTGGCCCAAACTGGAACATACAATCGATCTACATCAACACCTCACACCTTTATTGTTTTTATGTGAGAAGGCAGTTCGCCTTGCCGTATTCCGGTAGCAACCTATCCATCGTGTACTTCTTCGCACCACCTTTCTTAAAATTGATGTACTCGCTTCTAATGAGGTCACTGAACACGCATGACATGAAAGCAACACGATCTGTTTTCCATCGTCCGAGTGTTGTTCTTTCCCGGAATACAGACATCATAGCATCAATCTCCTACAATTGCAAGGCTGATGTTAGTAGACAGCCTAAATAACACATATACTTTGTTAGAAGTTAGGAGTTGGATGCTTACAATGTTGTGAATCCACTCGAATTGACTTATAATGCGAGTACATATTGCCTCATTTAAAAAAAAAAGAACCAACCTGTAAAGCTTTGTTAAAAAAAAAAACAATTAGTTACAACATTATACAATAACATATATTAGATTATAGTAGGATTAACTTACGTTCTTAAGTCCTGCCACTCTTGAAGTCTTTCAAAATTTTCTGGATCCACATATACCAATTGCGCATCAGGATCGTTCTCACCGGCTCGTGCAATTTGATAGTCATTTAATTCCCGAACATGTATCTTCTCTGATGTTCCTGGAGAGGACAAAGCCAAAGGATCATCGGTTTTAGGCTGAGAAGGATCAAAAACCTCTACAAATGTATCCTGTGAAAGGTCTGGGAAACAGCTTTGCAAGTAATCTTGTGTACTCATATGAAAATCAATTCCTAGTGATAGAGTCAAGTTTACTCTAGGTAAATCAATAAGCGGATCATCGGTGATTAATTCTTTCTTTTTTCGCAGCCTGATGACACACATAAAAAAGTAATAAGGTTTTAATTTAAACATATTACACAACATTAACTTCAAAATTAAGTTCCAAGTAATAGCCAAGTTCTAACCACATATTACATATCAATAATACCACACATACATCCGACAAGTTCCTAATGCAAACATACCACACTAGACAAACAAAATGTCATACCGCCTAGTTCCAAGTTCCAGCATCCTAGGTCCAAAACTACTTCCAAACAACTAGTTCCAATCATTAACCCTTTCTCTTATTCGTTACCTTTCTTGTTTGTGGACCTGTGACTTTTGTACTCTTCGTAGAAGTTGTTTCTTTTTTGGAGATGGCAGGAGCTGTGTCTTTTTTGGAGATGGCAGGAGCTGTGTCTTTTTTGGAGATGGCAGGAGCTGTGACTTTTTTGGTCTTGGCAGGAGCGCTCTCTTCCTTGGAGAAGGCAAGAACTGTGTCTTTTTGGGAGAAGGCAGGAGCTGTGTCTACTCCAGTCTTGCTAGGACCGGTATGTTGATCAGTCTTTCCCGCCATTTCGGTGAGGACAAACGCGGTCCTGAGCTGTGAAACCTCACTCTCCAACTTCCCGAGCCTGCTTGTTACCGCTGTCTCAATCTTGTCGATTCTATCGGAGAACTGGTGAACGATTTTCCCATCAAAAGCAGTAAATGAAGCTTTTAGCAAACCCTCGAAGAATTGCTTCATGTCTGTGTCAGTGCTACCGCTCCCCTTGTTTGAAGCAGCTAGCTGGCACAACAACTTCTTCTTCCTTGCATCTGCTCCTTGGTCAGCATTCTTTCTCTTCTTTTTACCTGAATCCACATCCGGTGTAACATGACTACTCTCGCCAATCTCGGTATCAGCATCGGCATCTCCTTCCTCTTCTTTCTCTTCCTCAGATTCCACCATTTCAGACCCTGGACCTCCATCCGATACTCCCCAAACATGATTGCTCCACTCGTAGTTTCCTTTGATCATATCCACTAAGCGCTCAACTCTTTCATCTTTCTTCTCATCCTTCCTTACAAAATCTGAACCCAAAAGGACCACTCCATCTCCGCCTACTTCGAGGAATGAGTGAAAAATCCCCTACAAGAGATTGAAATCATTAGTAAAATGATCTAGACAATAAAACATTTTTAATACACAATTTTGAAGAGATTAAAATCATTACTAAAATAAACAAGACAATCAACATTTTTATTACAGAAATCTATTCATACCTTCTCTGGAAATAATGTCTCAACCCCAATGATGTCTTCATATGAACATTTCGCACTTCCTATCCAATTACCACACAGAGGACCATCGTCCGTGACCGTCGTCCCACACATCTCTCCCAAAGCAGGAATAGCTTCCATAACCCAAACCTGGAAAGCATACAAGAACCCTTCCATCCGGTACCCCTCCTTCTACTCCAATTTACGCCTTGCCTTTACCATCGATTTCAGTAGGAAATCATACGAGTGCAAAACCCAAGGGTACTTCCGAAGCTTCTCAAAATCCATCACCAACTTCATGTACTCAAGCGGGATATTCACCTTCTCATCCCTCCCAAAGACCACACCCATAATGACACATAGATAGACCAGCCTCACCCTATCAGCAAAAGTCCAGGTGCTACAGTCATCCAAATACTCATTTTTAATATCCTGCACGCTGATTTTCCCACGCGTCCTTATCTGATTGCTCCAAAAACCACCATCATCATTCCATCTCAATAACCCACTGGTCTTATCTTGTTTCACTTTCAGACCAGTGACAGCATGATACTCTTGCAATCCAAAACGCAGAGGCCTCCCCACAAATGTAAACCATTTCTCATGCTTCAAGCTTGTCACCAACTCCTTACAGAGGAACGCGTGTACCACCCTCGCAGAAAACTTCAGCTGATTTGTCTCAATAGCTATAATATGTGAGAAAAGGGGATCGTTCTTGACTTCATTGAATTCAGGCTCCAATTTTGACCGTAGAAGCTCGAGAAGTTTCATTCGGCAGCTGTTATTAATCTTCTTAGTCTGAGGTTCCAACCCTTCTGTATATAGACGCCTAGGCAACTCCAACTCCATAGCTGTAAAATGAAGACAATATATATCAATAATAAATTTGAAGACAAATCTTCAAATTCATAAATCTATCCTAAAACTTTGATTTAAGGCATGGGGTAGGTACGAAATTGTCCCTAAACATCACCAATACACACGTTTGAAGTCCTCACACCATAACAAACTCAAAAAATAAAACTTTATCACCATTTTTTCGGACTCTTAAATTGAAGATTCAGTTTTATACCTTTACAGATCGAACAAAATAGTGATAGATTTG